TGTTTATGTTAATGGGCCTGTTAACTTCTTTTTATTCCTTATATGTTATGTTTGAGTTTGTTGCCCCATTAAGGGCATCATTGTAATTATGTTCATTAAGATTAAGTTAGTAAAAAGTGACTAGGAGAAAGGAGAGAGAACTGATAGTACTCTCATCTCCTCCATTCTTCTTCTCTCATCTTCTTCCTCTTCTTCTCTTGCCTGGGTCGCCTTTCTTTTGAAACTTTGGAGTGTTTGTTTCCAGACCTGTTTAAGTCAGTCTCTTGATTGACATTACAGTGTCAAACATTTCAGTTGAGCGAGTATTGTAGAAGATCATTTCCTCTAACTAATAAAAGAACATCTTTTCCTTCTCAAATTGTTCACTCTGATGTTGGGGGTCTTCCTCTATGACTTTTGAGAATGGCTACAACTATTTTATTAGTTTTGTTGATGGCTTCTCACGATACACATGGTTATATCCTCTGCATTCATGAGAGAAAGTACCTATTAGGGACTTTCATTGCATGGTGTTCACTGTTCATGCAATTTCATGTTGAAACTCAAATCTTCCAATCTGACAATGTGAACGAGTACTTCAAAAATTTTGATAAAAAAGTGTACTTCAAAAATATTGATAAAAAAAGAGTACTTCAAAATGAGTTCTTTGTCACTTGTAGATCAATCCATAGAAGTTCCCGTTCCAAAACTCCTTAGCTGAATGGAGTTACAGAAAGAAAGAATCAGCACTTGCTGGAAATTGCTCAAGGTTTAATGATCAACATTCATGTTCCCAAGAGATTTTGGATGATTGCAGTTCTGTTAACAGTAGCATATTTAATTACCAGAATGCCATCTTGAGTTTTACATTCTAAGGCTCCTCACTAGTTACTTTTCCTAATCTCCTTTGTTCTCCATTCCCTTACGTGTCTTTGGGTGTTGTTTCTTTGTCCATAATTTATTTCCATCATGTGGTAAACTAGATCCTAAGTCCATTCCTTCCATGTTCTTGGGTTACCCTTTTACTTAAAAGGGTTATAAGTGTGTTGACCCTTTATCCAGGAAATTCTTTGTTTCCGTGGATGTATCATTCTTTGAGAGTTGACCCTATACCCCTGCCTCTCCGTAGGGGGAGAAGCGTAATGGTTTGGAGGAGAGACAAATCCTTCTTCCATCCCTACTAGACCTTAACTCCACTTTGTGTATTCCCATGTAAATGTCCTCGTATGGATCAACCACATTTAGATAGTATGAAGGGATCAAAGGCTACGTAACCAACACCATCATTGGATTACCTAGAGGGAAAATTGGAAGCTAGTACACCTCCTAGTATACCTCCCTCTCAGTCAGGTAACCTTGTCCTTGTTAATTCTTCTGATATTGTTGATATTATTCCTGTGTATAACCTTGATATTTCTATTGCAAAATGTAAAGGTGTGCAAACCTATACTACCAAGTATCCCATAGCCAACTTTACCTCATGTGAAAACCTTTCATCTTCCTTGCATGCTTTTTTGTCTGCTATCTCTAATGCCTTTATTTCCAAGGTTGGTGCAAAAACCTTAACTACCAGAATGGATAGATGCTATGAGGCAAGAGATGGATGATGCCCTTCAAAAGAACAAAACTTGGGAACCTATGGATTTCCCTGTGGGAAAGGAACTAGTAGGGTATATACATGGGTGTTCTTAGTGAAACATCGAGTTGATGGTTCTATTGAAAGGTATAAGGCGAGATTGGTGGTAAGTGTATGGAGTGGACTATGCTAAGGCATTTGCATTAGTTGCTAAGGTGAATTCTATACGTGTACTCCTCTCTTTAGATGCAAACTTTGATTGGGGTCTCCATCATCTAGACATTAAAAATGCCTTCCTCAATGGAAACTTAGAGCAAGAGGTGTACATTATCGAACCCTTGGGTTTCCTTGAAGAGGGAAGTGAGCACAAAGTGTGTAGGTTGAAGAAATCCTTGTATGGGCTAAAACAATCCCCTAGGGCTTGGCTCAACAGATTTAACAAGGTTGTCCACAAATGTGGTTCAAGCAATGCCAGTCAAACCACGCATTATTTGTAAAAACTAAAAAGAGAATGTGAGAAGATTGTTGTCCTCATTCTGTATGCCGATGATATAGTGGTCACTAGGGGTGTCAATTGGACTGGATTTGGTCCAATCCGATCCAGTCCAATGTGACTCCATTATAAATGGACCAGGTCCAATCCAATCCAATGAATGTTCTGGAACAATTTGGACCGGTCCAATTCAATGTCTGGACCGTCCAATCTGTTAAAATTCATTTTGATTTAGATTGGTTTCAACCCAAACCCGGTCCATTGACACATATATTGTTATCTTATATCAATGGACCAGATATTGGCTTAATCCAATCCAATCCAATATAAATTTGTTACAGATGGACCAGGTCCAATCCAATCTAATAAATATTTTGGACGGGATTGGTCCGATCCAATATGCCTTGTTGGTCTGTCCAATCCGTCCAAATTGATTTTGGACTGGATGGGGTCCAATCCAAAACTGGTCCATTGACACCCTTAGAGGTCACAAGCAATTGGGAGTCACAAATTCAGAGGCTAAAGAAGTTCTTAACTTCTAATTTTCAAGTAAAGGATTTTGGTCTTCTTCGGTACTTCCTTGGAATTGAAGTTGCTTGCTTAGAGAAGGGCATCTTTAATTTTTTTGATCAATAACAACATTTCATTACTTAATCACAAAAGTAATTACAGAGAGGAAGATAAACTTTCTTATCTTCCAGAAGGAGCTTAACACTCCCAAGAACAAAAAGGAAAAATTACACTTGTTCCCAAAACATTGACTCCCTCTCGACTCCTTGCTTAGCTAATCCATCCGCAAAGGAGTTAGCTGATCTATTCACCCAGCTAACCTTAACTTCCATCTCTTGAACCAGCCACCTAAACTTCCTCCTCTCGTTACTGTACATCCATAAACTGCTGTTTTCTTTATTCAGCCACCCTACCACCACCTCTGAATCCCCTTCAATGATGAGTTTTCTTATATTCATTTCCTTGGCTCTTTGAACTCCTTCCATAACTGCAAAGATTTCAGCCCTGAGAGAGTCACCCACTCCAATTGGGCCGGAGAACATGGCTGAGACAAGCCCGTTCTCATCCCTAAACACACCTCCAATCCCCGATTGTCCAGGATTCCCCCGACTACTCCCATCAAAGTTCAGTTTTAAGAAGCCAGCCGGTGGGGGAGCCCAGGACACACACAAGATTGCTTTGGTCTGGGTGCAGTTAGCAATCTCACCCCATTTCCTCAACAAATCAACCACCGTGAAATCTGTAAACAGCTCTGAAGATTTCAGCCACTGAACAACCCTTATATGAATCAATTTTCTCAGTTCTTCATTACTTTTTCCTACTTCAGAAAAGATTCTGGAGTTCCTTTCCTCCCATAGGGCCCAACAAACTGCAGCCCTCAAACATCTCCACATGGTCCTTCCCCTTCGGCACCTGAAGAAAGAAGGGGAAAAAAGGCTTTGCAAATTTGAAGGAGGATTCCAACTACACCCAAAAAGGGAAAGAGCCCACGGAAGGGCATCTTTAATTCTTAGAGAAAAAAATGTCTTTAATCTCCTACAGGATATTGGAAAGCTGGGAGCTAAATCAGCAGGCACACCAATAGAGCAGAATCACGGATTGGGAAACAATGAAGGAGATCCCCTTGAGGGTGAAGCAATTCCAGAAACTTATTGGAAGGTTGTTATATCTTTCTATGACATGCCCATTCATTGCTTATGCTACTGGTGTTCTTGGTCAGTATGTGCATGCTCCTAAAACCTCCCATCTTGCAGTTGTAGAAAGGGTTCTTTGGTACTTGAAGAAATACCCTGGAAGGGGACTCTTGCCTGCAAAGCATGATCTTTGAAGAGTTGAAGCCTTTAATGATGCCGACTGGGCAGGCTCTGTGGATGATAGGAAGTCATCTAGTGGCTACTATACTYTTGGAGGAGTAGAAATAAAGAGGTGGTTGCTAGGTCAAGTGTAGAGTCTGAGTATAGAGCCATGTCACATGGTCTGACAGAAGTGTTGTGGATTAAAGTCTCCTGGGAGAGGCAGAGAGCATGGCTTCACAGCAAGTGGCCCCATAATATTGTATTGTTAAAGGCAACTAACAATATAGCTGCTAACCTATTCTCCATGACCAAACCAAGCACATTGAAATTGGTAAGCACTTCGTCCGAGAGAAGATTGAAAGGGAAAAGTGTGTACCCCATATGTTGGAGCAACTTGCAGATGTATTCACAAAGGGTGTTAACTCCTTGTGGCATAGTGAATTATGTAACAAGTTGGGTTGATTGACATCTATAGCCTAACTTGAGAGGGAGCATTGTAATGTGTACTAAACTGCTGCAGGGGTAGTTTAATCCTTTTACTTATTATGTATTCTCTTGTCACTCTAACATAAATAATAGAAAAGGCACCACCAGCCCAACTTTTTGGCCCTTTCGAACTTTCCCTCCTCTCTTATCTTGCTCTCTCCTCTTTCTCTCCTTTCTCCTTGCTTCCCCTCTATCCTCTTGATTATAATGACTACTGGTTATGTGTCTCCTTGCTTTTTCTCTCTTTGCAAAATTTTCTATTATCAACAAAAACAGAGAAACACACCTAAGTAATTAATGAAAAGTACAAAGTATCAAATAAAATGCTGATGAAAATATCAATTGTTTATTATTAAATTTATTATATTCACCTGCCCCTTCTCCACTGGTTGATTATTCTTTTTACTGCAGTAAAGGCAACCCTGAGATGGTGCATTTGTCTGAATGCTTCTTTAGTTGCGTTATCTAGTACCTAAATGTAATTTCAGTTATTGGATCATACATTTTACTGCAGGGTGATAAAAAATGCAAAAATTACTTCAGGGTTGCCTTTAACTTCCAGCCTTACACTGAGATGGTGCATTTGTTTGAATGCTTCTTTAGTTGTGTTATCTAGTACCTAAATGTAATTTCAGTTATTGGATCATACATTTTATTGCAGGGTGATCAAAAATGCAAAAAGTGCCTCAGGGTTGCCTTTAGCTTCCAGCCTTACACTTGCTGAAGGAGAGGTCATCCTAGATGTTGATGGTTGTGTTCCCACTCAACCAGTTCTGCAACATACTGGCATCTCTGCATGGCCTGGTGAGGCATTTGTTTCTCCTGGATCTGGGATGTCTCTTTCTTTCTGACTCCATATCGCTCAGTTTGGAAAGAGTACAAATACAAATATGTACAGTGTAAATACATATAAAATAATACAAAATATAAGGTTTTGCACTCTACATATTTGCATTTGTACTCCTTCCAAACTCAGCCTAAAGATCTTTCCACTAAACTGTTTTCTCCACTTGTTTAGCTTTCTTGCCTTAAGGTAGCTTTCTTGGATAACTGAAGTATGATTTGGCTTGATCTGTTAGATCATGCTGATTGGTCTAATCTATCTTGGCTTCCCTTGTCCAATTTCCACTTGGATCCATGTTTTTTAAAATTGGTATTTCTTCACAATTTATTGATAATTAAAAAAATGGAAAATGTACAAAGATTTGTGCTGTGAACACCTATATCCTTGGCAGCCTATTGATGTAGGACCACTTGCTTTGATGCCAATTGATGTAAGACTTGAATGACCAAAGGATGAGCTTACGAGGGTTAGGATGGATTTAGGATAAAAGACAAAAATTGGTTAAGTTGGAAAAGTTTTAGGGTGTCGAACACAAAAATTATATATTTATCTTAATAAGGTGAAAAAACTTTAAAATAGAAAAAAATAGGTCTATGATGCAATTTTTCTGTGAAATTTCATTGGTAGGGATGTAGGGTTAGAATGGATAGTTGTGACATGCAATTGAATTTGGTTAGGTTGGAGTATGTTTGGCACATAAGGATGAAAATTTTAGACTTGGCATAAAGCTAAATAATTAAGGAATCCTGTGTTCTATGTGGGATTTTGTATGATATTTAAAGGGATGGAAGGATGTAATGATATATGGGGCATCTAAATTTGGTTGGGATTGGAGACAGTTTGGCAAAAAAGATGGAAACAACTAGAATGGGAAGATTTCAAGTTTTAATGAAAATTAAAGGAAAATACACCTAATAGTTCCAATCCTTTGAAATGTTGAATGAATGTCTTTTGACGAAAAACCTACAGTTGTTGACGGAAATGTTTTAAAACTTGGAGGCATGATGCAAGGTGTTTCACTGCCTAGAGGCATAATTCTCACAAACTCAAGGAGGTGTAAGCCTCCTTAAGAGGAGGGGGATGAGGTGGAAGAAGAGGAGGATGAGGAGGAAGAAGAGGAAGGGGAATCTCTTCTTTTTTTTGTTTTTTTTTTTAATTTTATGAAAGATGCCTTGTATTAAGAAGAATGAAGATGCATAATACTAGCTGAAAGATGTCTTGTTCCTTCCCTTCCCTTCCCTTTTCTTTTTTCATTTTTTCCTTATTTTCTTTCTTTTTGCTTTTTCATATGATCCATGCATGAGGCGTGTGAGGCGCATACCTCATGCAAAAGGCGTATGAGGGTGTGCCTCAATTGCCTCAGGGGCATTAGTGTTTCTGGCATATGCTGTTATGGACGCCTTCCTCGGGAAGACGTACCATCGCCGCCGGCAGCAACAGGCCCCGGGCCCACCGCCAGCAGCAGCAAGGATTCAGTTCGGCAACAACAGCCTTATCTAGATTAGATTAGCTCATTTTGCTTGTTCTTATCTTATTGTTCTTATCTCTTATCTTATCTTGTTAATAGCT